CCGAAGGAAGAAGAAGCACACCTTGTGCGGCGCTCCAGCCTCCAGTAAAATAGAGGCCTCTGCCCTGCTCTCTTCTTTTGAAATTACCAAAATGGGCAAAAGTCTTCCTTTGCCAATAATGCCCCCGGGATAAGCTCTGTGCCTTGGACTCTTTTTCTGTCAAATTAGCACCTGTTATTATATTTTCGTTCTATTCCCTGAAATAAATGCAAAATACTAAAAGTGAGTAGAATCCCGCAATTAATCCACATCAAGTCAGGTAATAGGAGAAATTAATTATAAAATAAATGATAGAATTGCAACCTATCAACTTTCACTTTTTTTTTCACTCTAAGCGTACCCAAAAAAAAAAAAAGAAAAAGGATTTGTCTCCTCTTTTTTTCACTGTTACTAATGTCAAGGGAATGAAAAAAAAAGGGGATAGAGAGATGGGACGGAAGGATACAAAAGCACAATTTTTGAAAGCAGAAAAATAAAAAGGAATTCAATATTATTATTACTTTAAGATTGTTTGTGTTGGAATTGGGTGGTAGGTGGAAGAATAAGAAGTGATTTTAAAATAATAAGTATACTAGATTCTTTCTTATTTTTCCTTTTTTTTAAAAAAAAATTGAACTCTCTCTCTCTCTCTCTCTCTCTCAGCATTACTAAGAATGCAAACCAAAAAAAAAAGGAAGGGAACAGTTTTGCTTTGGTAAATAAAAAGAAGAACCAATATGTGTGTGTATACACAATACATAATTAATCTTATATATATTGACAGTGTATATGCTATCACGATTGGATGCATGAATAAATACACTATCACGATTGGATACATGACATGTATGGAAAATTATATATATATATATATATATATATATATATATATATATATATATATACATACTCTGTGTGTGTGTGAAATGAAAAATGCTCTGTTGTCTCTGCTAAACTCTGCCAAATAGCATTCAGACTAAACAAAACAAAAAGGAAGAAGAGTTGGCTGTGCATTCATATTTGGTCGACCGACTGGGGAAGTTCTCAACTGAAGCCTTTAGTTGAAATGTACTTCGACGTTCAATGTGAAAAGGTTCATTTGAATAGCTGGATTCTAGATCATATTCTGCTGCAATGTGGAAAGATTGGGAATTCAATTTTGTCTTGATGGGAAACATGTATTTAATAAATCAAATCAGCTGCAGAGGCGGCCAATGTTTCAGTGGAAATGCTACGAGAAAAATAAAGGAGCAAGTATACAGAATATGAGCTGGACATCTAGCCCTCTAAACATGGCATAATTCGAAGCTTAAGACAACTTCTGATAACATGAATGGTTTCCACCAACAATTGAGAGATTCTCTACATGGCTGTTTACCTTCAAATTGTTTGTTCTTGATTTAAAAGGAGAAAAAAAACAAAAAGAAGGAAAAAATAACGCAAAATTCAATATGGTATTTGAAATTCTCCGACCATCAATATTTATCGACCATCATGAATGGCTCAGCATGTTTGTCGAAAAAAGATACAATAGACATCCAGCTACCCTAAGAGGAGATGGTAGAAATAGGGATACCTGTGCAGGTGCAGCTGTGTTCGGTTATTGTATTTCTTGTAATAGGTGTATCCTTACCTAAATTATTGTATTTTTTATAGAGGATAATTTTAGAAACCTCTCTCGAGATTTTTAACAATTTCACTTAGTTCTCTTGAGATTTAAAAAATTGCACTTAACTCCCTTGAATTTATCATTTTGGTAACAAAAACTATTTTTTTTTTTAAACAAACGGCAATATCAGGTAACAAAAACTATTCAATGCTCAAAATTTTGAATGAATAACCAATTTGCCCTTATGAAATTGTAAAGTTCATTTTATTTCTTACAAAATTCTATAAAAAAAAATATGGAATGTGCACAAAACCTCAAACCCACTTTCAACCCTTTTTTCTACTATTCTAAACCTTTCATATTCTTACATCTCAAATTAGTACCACTATCTTCATGACCACCGCTACCTCAGTCCCAAAATCCTAAAATCTCAATCTAAGTTACAAAAGAAAAAAAGAGTACCGTAAAATTTAAAAAATTTGACTAACTGTATTAATATAACATCCATCTCTCAAATGTTGGAGTACCAATATATGCCCCGTTATATTTAAATCTTCAACTTGCATCTCCTTCTATTCATCTTTAGATCTTTCAAGTCAAGTTAAAATTAATTTGTAATATGTTCGAATTATGTTTAGGATATAATTAGTTATTCTAAAAGTAAACCTTTTTTTGTTTCTATTAAATATTTAATTGTGTGGTGCATTCCTATGCACAAGATTAGGAGCGTATTATTTAATTGTATGAAAAATATTAATAAATTAAGGTTATTATGATCATTTTATAGGGTCAAGGGAGGTAAGTGTAATATTGAAAATCTTAAGGTTACTAGATGAAATTGTCAGAAACCTCGAGAAAGGTTTCTGAAATTATGCCTTTTTATAATTATTTGGTCTATACAAGCAAAATTTATATTTTTTGCCAATAAAAAGAGTAAAATTTACATGTACAACACGATAATATAATTGTATGAAAAAACAGTGTAATAATTGTAACTAGCGCATGCAACCGTGACTTAGATTAGCGTACCGATCACTTTTCTATAAATATAATTACATGATAATCGAATCCACGACATCTAATTCCTAATGCCTTGACCCTCATTTTGTTTTATAACTTGACCAATTTTAGACACCAGTTGATGGACTAGATATACCGCATTACGAGCCTACACTTTTCATTCGAGTTTTGGAATTAGGCTAAATCATTATTGTTATTCACCATAATAAATTAGAGTTAATTTTATATAGGATTATTATTACTTTACCCTTTAACGTTTGGTGTCACTATCAATTTCCTCCTTAACATTATCTTTTAGTCACTTTACCCTCAAAACTAACGGTCAAACTAAACGGAGTTTGTTAATTAAAGTGAAAAGACGTGTTTAACCCTAAAATGATTATCACTTTACTCCCATAAACTATAGTCTCATTATCAATTTATGGCCCTAGAGTTATTTTTTAGACAATTTATCTTACCATTAAACCAACTTAACAAGTTAAAAAACTTTAGAAGCAAATACTCTCCTCTTTGCATGAAAAAATAATAAAAAATTTAGAGTAGCTTTTCTCAGGGGCGGAGGGAAGGGGGGCCGGGGGGCAACCGCCCCCCTCCAATTGTTAAAAAAAAAAATTCTAAGTAAAATTTTTTTATTATTATGTTTTGCCCCCCCAAAATTGATCAAAAAATTCATTTTGCCCCCCCAAGGGCCCAAACAATAATGTTTGAAAGCTATTTGGACTTGGTCCAAATAACAGAGAATTGCCACTATTTTCTTAACGGAGAATAACAGATTTGGTCCAAATAACTTACCTACTATTTTCTAAACTTTACAATTGCCGTTTTTCACCAATTCACCTCTTATTTCCTTCTTACAGAAAAGCCTCAACTCTCAATTCCCAACTTCAATTCCCTCTTCGATCTCCAATTTTATTTTTTTTTTCATTTCAAAATACAAGCTAATACTCTATGGCAGAGAATTGTAACTCCTCAGTTCTCACCCGAATTTTTCTGCAAAAGTTGAAATGCGCGGCTTTGAAACTGGATGTACCAAAAGCTCTGAAATTTCAAGCTATTACCATTTACCAGGTTAGTTTGACATTGCATTTATTTAGTGAAATGTGGGTGTAAAAAGTTCGCCCGCCAGTTGTTTGATGAATTGCTCGAGAGGGACTTGTATTGTTTTTCGTACTTGGCCTTCTGAATTCGGGTGATAAGCATTTATTTTAGTTGATTCTGAGACTGGTTTCCTTTTCCAATTTTCATACTAATCTTATTTTAAGGATCCTGTTGGCTTCCTTGGGTGATGGCCGGGCTTTTCAGTCAGGCTGAATGGCCGAAATTTGTAAGGGAATTAGGGAAACCAATTTTTGCATTGGTCAAATTCCCATCTCTATAGGCCATAACTAGTATTTCTCAATCAATTTTATTTCGATTACAGGTTGTTGTTTTGTTGCAAATATAGTGGTAATGGCCAACAAGACAATTGATTCTTTTTTCAAGAAAAGACATCTAGAACCAAGTGGAAATAGTGAAACTCCTTGTCCTCTTCGTGATTCTTCTCCTAAGCATCAAACAAAGAAAATTTGTAGAGTTGAATCATTAGAGTTTGATATTTCATCCATAGAACGTGATCCTGGAAAAGCGAAAATCCATTTAGGAATATCTAGAGCATCAAAGGGTTGAGGTACGGAGAGCATATATTAAGTTTGGGCCATACCAACCTGAGCTTCCGATTGAATCAATGGTTGTTGACAAGAAGGGCCGACGTTTCCTTTTCTCTTGGTATAAATTGTTTCCAGATTAGTTGGAATTTTCTCCAACAAAGAAGGCTGCCTTTTGTCTTCCTTGCTCACTTTTTTCCAAGCCAACGGACCGTTTTGGATCAATGGCCTTCACAACTAATGGATTTAAATCATGGAAGAAGGTAAATGATGGAAAAAATTGTGCTTTTTTAAATCACATTGGAAAAGATCCTAACTCATCACACAAAGTGGCAATGCAATGCTATCATGATTTGGGAAACTCATTGCAACATCTTGATAAAATTATTGAGAAGCAAAATTCTGAGCAGGTTGCAAAAAATCGGTTGCAATTTCAAGTTTCCATAGATGCTGCAAAATGGTGTGCATTTCAAGCGGTGGCTTTTAGGGGTCATGATGAAAGTTTAGATTCTAACAATCGAGGTAATTTTATTGAGTTGATCAAGCATGTGTCTTCTTATAATGAAAAAGTGGCTGCTGTGGTCCTTGATAATGCTCCTCGAAATGCATCTTATACTTCTCCTACGATCCAAAAGGAGATATTATCCATTTGGTCGAGCAAGATACAAAAGTATATTTGAGAGGAGATTAGTGATTCAAAATTTTCTATACTTGTTGATGAGGCTCAAGATAGATCAAAAAGAGAGCAAATGGCTATTGTTCTTAGATTTGTGGACAAGCAAGGCTATATTCAAGAGAGATTTTTTGACGTTGTTCATGTGCACGAAACCAATTCCTTGACTTTGAAGAAGGAGATATGTGATGTCCTTTCTCGCCATAATCTTAGTGTGCAAAACATTCGTGGCCAAAGATATAATGGAGCTAGTAACATGCGTGGAGAATGGAATGGACTGCAAGCATTATTTATTCAGGAGTGCCCCTATGCATATTATATTCACTGTTTTGCTCATCGGCTGCAATTAATATTGGTAACAACATCTCAAGAGGTAATTCCTGTGGAACAATTCTTTACATACTTATCTCTTCTTATAAATTTAATTTCATCTTCTTGCAAACGTGTGGACCAACTTAGAGTTGCTAGAATTGCTGAATTGATTGCTATTGATGAACTTGAGACTGGTAGGGGTCAGAATCAGATTGGTACCTTAAAACGGCCAGGGACTACAAGATGGGGGTCTCATTTTAGTTCTATCTGTAGCTTATTCATAGAATATGAAGACATTTGCTCTGTCCTAATTGATGTTATCAATTATGGAAATACATCAACTCAAAGAAGGGAAGCTGACAGAGTTTACGATTTCATAACATCCTTTGATTTTGTTCTTGTTATGCATATGATGAGGGACATTTTAGGATTTGCACAAGTACTTTCTCAAGCTTTACAATGCAAATCTCAAGATATTTTGAATGCCCTTAAATTGGTTTCAGTAACAAAGGATCGACTTCAAAGTTACAGAGATAATGGATGGAATGAATTGTTCACAAATGTAAAGACATTTTGTGATGCACGAAATATAGAGGTGCCTGATATGAATGTCATTTATAAAGCAGGTCGAGGAAGAATTCGAAAACAAAATGATCCAATTACCATGGAGCATCACTACAGGATTGATGTGTTTTTGGCAACGGTTGATTCTCAAATACTTGAATGAAGAATAGGTTTAAGGAAGATATAATAGAGTTGCTTATTCTTAGTTTAGCAATGCACCCAAAGATAATTTTCAGGCTTTCAATATTGAACAAAGTTGTCAACTTGCAAACAAGTTTTATTCAGCTGACTTCACAGATCAAGAGAAGTTACACTTAAGAACTCAATTAGACCTTTTCCAGATTGAGTTTTCCTGTAATTCTCAGCTTCAAAATTTGTCATCACTTCAGGAGTTGTTCCAAGTGTTAGCAAAGACAAGAAAGTCAATGTGCTATACTCTTATTGATAGATTGATTCATCTTATTTTGACTCTTCCTGTTTGAACAGCTACAACAGAGCGTGCATTTTCTGCTATGAAAATCATCAAGACTTGTTTGCATTCTAGGATGGAGGAAGACTTTCTTGCTAACTCTATGATAATGTATATTAAGAAAGAAATTGCTAGAACTTTTGATATAAATTCAATCATTGATGACTTTGATAAAATTAAAAGTCGTCGTGCACAATTTCATATGTCCCACATAGTCAAATAGATTTGTAAATATGATGGTATTTTTGTATATGTGAAATGTATAAGTACTTTTCATTCTATATAAGGTTGTTTCTAATCTTGTGGTATATATGTTTACATTATTTTTTTTTGTAAATATATTTTACTTTCATTGCTATAGACTCCCCCCCCAAAGTTAATTCCTAGCTCCGCCACTCTCCTTTTTAGTATCAAGAAAAAAAGTCAAAGAATTCATTTCTTTCTTCTTGACAATTTTATTAATATTGAAAAAAAATAGAAAGATGGAGAGGGGGAGGGGAGAGAGAGAGAGAGAAAGTTCAATTCTTTTTTTAAAAATTACAAATAAGAAAGAATTGAATACTTTTATTATTTTAAAATTATTTCACATTTCTATTTACTACCAAATTCCAATCTTAATCTCGACAACCTTAAAGTAATACGATAATGTTATACTTTTATTTACTTTCTTTTTTTGCAAAATCTAATTTTTTGTCTCCTTCTTTCCCATCTCTTTTTCTTTTCGAGTATTAATAAGTGTGAAAAAAAGAAATTTGAGAAACCCCTTTTATTTTTATGTTTTTTGATCTTTTAAAGTGAAAAAAAGGAAGAATAACCATTTCAACTTTTTTATTTTTAATTATATATAAAAAAGGGTAAATATATTTAAAATTTTTTGACCATAGTAGTTAGATTAATGATGAGGTAAAATGCCTAGAAAATAATGTTAGGAACTAAAGTGATTGTATTGTATCACTATAATCTAAACGAATAAAGTGACGATAACAATGTAGTAATGTTATAAAATAAAAGGGTATTTTTGTCCAAAATTTCTTAATGTATTGAGTTGAATTACTTATGGAGGTAAAGTGACTAAAAGATAATGTTAGGGGCAAACTGGTAGTAGTAATATAGTTAAGGAGGTAAAGTGATAATAACCCTTTTATATATACTGTACTTATCGTGTATACACTATCACATTTAGATACATGACACATATGTAAAATTTGAATTTCACATTTAATTTTAGATTATGCATCATATATCTAATGATAAAAGTGTATATGATTTCGGTGTGTAACAAATTAATTCAATAAATTAAACATTTCAAAACTTGTGAGCAATTGGTCCCTCAGTCCCTAGCCAAGAGTGTGACGCCTTACAAATCCATCGAAATAAGCCCAGTCATGAACAAAAAAAAAAAAAAGAATAAGAAGCTGATTGATTTCAATAGTGTCATGATCAGCCCATTATCCAAAGAGAAGTTAAAAAAATAATAATGATAAAAATTAGAGTGGTTCTACTGACACTGGATTTTCCTACCCCTCATGGGCAAGGAGTCAAAGAATAAGTTAATTGATTGAAATTAAAATAAAGTTCTTTTTCAGAAAACTATATTAATCACTCCATGCAAAATTTTCCCGGGAAGGTTGAAACCAAAGTTCTAAAAAATGACTCCATGTTTGATTTGTATTCCTTCCAAAAATACACTCCATTTTATTGACATTAGACTACCAAAGGCAGCCACATTCATTGGCTCAAAATAGAGGAGCCTGATTGAAACTTTCAGTGGAAAATAAAAAAAAAGTAAACCATTCTTCTCAAACAGGTAGAGGAAAAAAAACAGCGAACCCTAAAAGTTTAGCATTTTCAGCTTTGCTATTTTAGTGATGATTACTAGTTATGACACACAAAAAAAATACAAATTCACTGAAGGTGGACAATTGATTTTTAATCTGGTGGGTAAGAAGTATTTAGCTGAAATTTTTGTAGGGGCCAAAACAAGTTCAAATGCTTTGATTCGTCAGCGATTTTTATTTATTTATAACTCTTTTTTTTTGGGTAAGCACCACATTGTTTTTACACTAGTGTATGGAAAAGTTTGAGTCAATATCATTGTTAAGAAGTAAAATAGTTCCTGCATGTACAAAGTAGCAATTGTAAAAATAGTTTTGGAATAATGGATTAATAATCAGAATTTTCTTCTCCTTAACTTGCCATAATCAAAAATTAACCTTCACAAATTAAATTAAATCTTAATCATATTATGGAGGAAGAAACAAAGCGGAAAGAACTTGCCCTTAACTTGTCTGTCCCAATAATGCCAACTAATGATGATCATGATATGATATGTGACCAAATTATTAAATTAAACTGACGAGATTAAAAAAGAATTAACTGATTAATAACACTTTTATGTGGTTTTCTTACCAGGCAAATATTTAAAACAAGGCTTGCCTGCTACTACGATTTAGTCTTTACTAGGCCATACTTTTGTTGTCTGATTCGGACAAAGAGAACTTTTTATTGCTAATTTCAAATTTTTAAGGGCGCCACCATGGATCAAAGAAAAATTTATCATTGCTTCTATACTACACAGAGTTTACGCTATTTGCTGCTGAATCAATCCTTCCTTCCTTCTCTGAGAACAGAAAACTTTTGCTCCTAATTCCAATTCGAAGCAAGAAAAAATGGCTGATGCTGCTATTAATACAACTATCAATTTCGTTCTGGGGACTGCTGTTTCCCTTGCGGCTGATCGTATCCGTATGATTCTTGGGGTCAAAAAGGAGTTGGAGAGGATAAGCGCGACTGCTGAAACGATCCAAGGTTTCTTGGCTGATGCTGACGGGAAAATGCATAGCCCAGGGGTCCAAGATTGGCTCAAGCAGCTCGAGGAGAGGTTTTTAAAGCAGAATATGTGCTGGATGAGGTCAATTATGAAAATCTCCGTCAGGAGGTGAAGTATCGTGGTCAAGTCAAGAAGAGGAAGGTATGCTTCTTCTTCTCATTCTCCTGCTTTAGCACAATCGTTTTTCGTTCCAGATTGGCTTCAAAAATCAGGGACATCAACACCAACCTAGACAGGATCAACGGTAAAGCCAACGAGTTGGGATTGGTTGTGAAGTACCAAATTGAAGCCGCACTCCCAGCTGCCGATGGAGCCACCACAAGCCGACAGGCTGACTCTATTCTTGTTCCAAATGTTGTGGGAAGAGCCAGCGATGAATCAAAGATAGTGGACATGATGTTGAGCCCCTCTGATAAAGTTATTTCGCGGGCACGTCAAGAGAGCAAGCGAGCTCCCAGAAGTTTCTGATCGTGAGCTTCCTGCACATCACCACGCGGGCGCGTCATGAGGGCAAGAGAGCTCCCAGAAGTTTCTGATCGTGAGCTTCATGCACGTCACCACGCGGGTGCGTCATGACTGAAGGTCACCTACAAATCAGCAAAAACGAAAATTAACACCCAAAACCAATCAAACTCAAGAAAAACATATTTAAACTATCACACGAAATCAAACAAATAATTAAAAGGAACAATTGGGTTGCCTCCCAATGAGCGCCTCTCTTTAATGTCTTTGGCTAGACATTATCATGTTTTGTTCATGGAGGATAAAATCGTGTGGCTCGTTTTAATGCTTCATCCTCTATATAGTCCTGATAACCCTCGTAAATAGAATAATCCTTGAGCATACGAGCTACGGGCATCCATGGACTAGTGAATGGCGCCAAACGAGTCGATGATAATTTGCATTCTCCATTCACTTCTCCCTCACTTGCATTTATTGGTTCAAGATATCTCGCCATCGCCACTCTTAATTTATTCCTGTCATGAAATTCAAAATTGTCTGGTATAATAAAGTCAATTTCGTTAACAGGAATTGAAGAGTAAGAGTCAGGAGAATATTGATGAAGGAGTGGAGAAGATGTCACCGCATTTGGAGATTGTTCACTGGATTCTTTCACGTGAATGGGTTGCGGTTGGGGTTCCATTTCTTTCTTTTTGGCTTCTTTTTCAACTGCATCTGTAGATTCCTCATTTTGACACTCTTGCATCTCCTCATCACTAGTCAAGCAAATTGCACTCTCGTTTTCTTCTAGATCAACAACGATTTTCGAGGGCAATTTTTCCATTTGAGAAGCCCATCGATTTATTCTGGATGTCAATAGACGTAGTTGATCTGCCAGATAATTTAATGCATCCTTCATCATCTCATTCTCCATTAGTGTCTCCTGTTGGAATTGGTATGTGTTAGTAGCTATTGGTTTAACTATTTCTTCAAGAGACATACCTGACATAGATGCCGATTCTTGAGACTCATACTGCTGAAAATTCATTGGCCCCGTTGGATAATTATAATTGGAGTTATCCCACCCTCCTTGATCATACCCATATGGATTAGGGTTATACCCCGTTTGAGACCAGTGTGAAAAATCTCCATAATTATTGAGTGGAACACTCAGATTATCTTGATATTCGGGGCACATACTGGTTGAATGATCCCTGGCATAACAAATTTTACATGTTGCAGCAGCCATTCTTTTTCTAATAGAGTTTACTGCCTCTGCATATGCCAACTCAGGAAAAAAACAAATCTCATCGCCTTGCCCGGAAATAAAATCCAATACATCACCAAAATACGGAGTGTTAGAAGCCATAAACTATATCAAAAAAATAAGAGAAAAAATAAATAAAAAATGAAAACAAAATGA